GGATTTTCAGGGGCGCCTGGGTGGCTCAGTCATTAAGCATCTGCCTTCAGCCCAGGTCATAATCCCGGGGTCCTGGGATCGAGTCCCACATCGGGCTCCCTGCTCAGGGTGAGCCTGCTTCCCCCTCTGCCTGTAGTTCCCCTTGCTTGTGCTTTCTCTCTCTCTCTCTCTCTCTCTGTCAAATAAATAAATAAAATCTTTTTAAAAAAGAGAGACTTTTCAGATGTGTTTTGATAACTGCTTGCACCTGGAACAGTATCCGGCAGCAAGAGAACCTCACCATGTGATTGCATCCAATTAGTAGGCAGATCTGCCTCTCTTATAAAATCTGCTTATCAGTCTTTGAGTGCTACAGTGTGACCCCAGTAATAACAAGTGATGTTACTTCTTGTATTTAGTATGTATTTTTGAAGAGTAGAGGCATGGGCACTTCACATTGTACAGCTTTTATTCCAAGTGAATTAGCAAAATATTATTTTCCAAAAGTCACACAGTAGAGGGGAAACATAGAAGGATGTTAATGTAGTTTTACAGTAGGGAAGGTCTTTCTAAGCAAGATTTAAAAGCCCAGAAGCCACAAGGGAAATTTCTTAAATATTAGACTCCACCAAGATTTTAAATGTCTGTATAGGAAAAGATAGCGTAAAAAAATAAACCAGGTAAAGTATTTGCAATCTAAGTAATACACAACAGCCTAGGCAAGGTACTACAGACATAGAGTAGTATGTCATAGAGCTGTTGCCAGGATTGAATGAAATGCAAGTACCCAAAGTGAAAATACTTAACAACTGGTAGGTTCCATCCATGCTTGTATAAAGGCCACCAACAAATCAATATTTTTAAGAGATGGGTAACAGAAGAAGATATGAATGAGCAATTCATAGAAAAATATAAATGGTCAGTAAACATATGGAAAGATGTATAGCCTTGCTCCTGATTAAATAAAGAATAATTAAATTTGCAATAAGACTTTTCTACCTATAAGTGTGTCAAAGATGACGGGAACCTGGGGGCCCAGCTCAGTCGGTTAAGTGTCTGCCTTCGTCTCAGGTCATGATCTCAGGGTCCTGGGGTCAAGCCCTGCATTGGGCTCCCTGCTTAGCCTCCCTCTCCTATGCTAATAAATAAATAAAATCTTTAAAAAAATAAAAAAATTTTAAAAAAGACTGTCCAAGATGAAAAAGAATGTTAATATTTCAGTATTGGCAGAGAAGTTGGGAAATTGACATTCTCATTGACTTGCTGTTCTTTGTTCCTTTATAGGAGAAGCATATTTTGCTTCTGGCTTCTTTCAGGATTTTCTTTTTTTTAATCTTTGATTTTCTGTAGTTTGAAAAGGATATGCCAGTGCTGAGGCATAGTGTTTCTTGGGATGTATCCTGCTTGGTGTTCTCTGAGCTTCCTGGATCTGTGGTTTGGTGTCTGACATTCACTGGGGGAAATTCTCGGTCGTGATCATTTCAAATATTCGTTAGGTTCCTCCTTTGCCTTCTGGTATTCCCATTACGTATGTGTTACACCTTTTGTAGGTGTCCCACGGCCTTTGGGTATTCTATTCTGTTTCATCAGTCATTGTTCTCTTAGCTTTTCACTTTCGGAGATTTCTTTTGTTGTTGTATTTTTGTTTTTGTTTTTGAGAGAGTGTGTGCTTGCATACGAGAGTGGGGTTGGGGGGAGCCCAGTGTGGAGCTTGATCCCACAACTCTGAGATCATGACCTGAACCTGAAATCAAGAGACAGATGCTTAACTGACTGAGCTACCCAGGCGCCCCACTTTTGGAGGTTTCTGTTAAGGTTTTTGTTGCAACATCTTCAAGCTCAGAGATTCTTTCCTCAGCTCTGTCCAGTCCTCTAATAAGCCCGTCGAAGGTACTCTTCATTTCTCTTACAGTGTCTTTTATTTCTAGCATTTCTTTCTGGTTCTTTCTTAGGTTTTCTGTCTCTCTGTGAATGTTGTCTGCCTTTTCATGCTGTCTGCTTGGTTCCTTTGAGACCTTAGCATATTAATCTTAGCTGTTTTGAATTCTTGGTCTGATAATTCCAGCCTCCCTGCCCTGTCCAATTCTGGTGCTTGGTCTTTTTTCCAGCTGTGTTTTTGGCCTCTCGGTACACCTTACAACTTTTTCTGGATAGCCAGACATGAGGTACCAGGTAAGAGGGACTGCTATAGGCCAGCCTTCAGTAGCGTGGTGGTGAGAGGTGAGGGCGTGGGGGTTCTCCCGTCCTGCACTTGGGCCCCTCCGAGCCCTTGGTGAGCCTGTGCCTCTCGGCTCTGAACTTGCTCCTGTTTCCTCCGTTTTCTTTTCCCCCGTCATGTGGGACAGGATGCTACTGTGGGCTGGGTTTGGCTGTTTCCCCATGCCAGTTAGGCTCTGGTCAACTAATTTCTTCTGGGGGCAGGCCTTGTTGAGAACAGAATGCTCTGGCTCATTTCAGAAGGGTCCCTCTTCCCCTCCCACTGCTGGAAGCATGGGGGGATTTTTGTCTGCTGTTTGTTCTGGGAACCTGACTGCTCCTGGAGGTAAAACTCACAAAAGTGTGGGATTCCCCTGGGACTGGATCCCCCTGGTCCACACACAGGCCCCAGCACTGGGCAGTCACGACTCTGGTTTTCTTACCTGAGCACCGCTGCTGTGGAGGTTTGCATTCCTGAGGCTTTTCTCCAGGAAGCTGCAACGCCCTGTATTCACCTGTCTGGCCAGTCTTGGGGCCAGTTTGTCCCCAAACTGGCCAGTTTGTCCTGGGTCCTTCCTTGCCTTTCCCATGAATCTGAGAGGAATTGTTGACCGGAAACTGATTTATTGTTGGTGGAGTGGATATTGGTACAGTATTTAGTGCAGCAATCTTAATTATCTACTAAAAGTAAAAACGTTTGTGCCCTTTGATCTAGCATTTCCACCTTTGGACATACTGGCATGAATGCATAAAGATGTAAGCATTTTTTAAAAAAAGATTTATTTGAGAGAGAGAGTATGAGTGGGGGGTGGGATGGGAGAGAAGCAGACTCCCCACTGAGCAGGGAGCTGGACATGAGACTCGATCCCAGCACCCCGGGATCGTCACCTGAGCCGAAGGCAGATGCTTAACCGGAAGGCACCCAGGTGCCCGTGCAGTAGCATTTTTTAATATAGGGATGGTTAAATATGATATATTCACACAGTGGAATGCTCTGTAGCTGCTAAAAAGAAATGAGATAGCTCACTATATCCTGACATGGGAAGAAGTCTAAGACACATTGTTAAGTAAGTGGAAGGAGAAAAAAAGCAAGTTGGTAAATGGTATGTTTAAGATTCAGTTTTTGTTTAAAACTTACCCACAGGGAAAATGAAGGCATGCTTAGAGAAGAAAGAATTTTGGAAGAATACGTACCAGAAAAACCACTGGTTGCCTCTGAGGGACAATGTTATGAGGCTGTTAATATATATATATGTTATATATCAGTGACATTTGTGTCTTGTATGATGCATACATATCTGATAACTAGTCAAGAGAGAAAGTAGGTAGCAGCAGGTACAGTTCATTGAGGGCAACAGAATGGAACTGATTGTTTCCCTCACTTTTCCCTATATCCAGGCAGTAATGCAGTAACAATCTCTGAATTTTAACTTCCCTTCTGGGAATACTGTGGTAGCGTAGACCCAAGTAACTGGAAATTGCAAATCTCCTGGTGTCTCTTTCGCTCTTTCACCGGGGGTGACAGCCATAAGATGACAAGAGTTCCAGACAAATGTTTTACCGGTGAACATTTTTTTTCCCGTAGAATTTTTTATTGTTAATTCTTCTTGTTAAATGATTTACGAAGGAAAATTTCCCCTTCTGCAGAGAAGCGGTTTCTTTGGTTCTGTTGTGTTGAGATTTGTGGTTTGTTGTACCCAAGAGATGTTTATAATGGAATTTTTTACAACATGTATCTCTCCTTTAAAAGGCTGCCTAAAAAGTAGGTTAGCGGAGCCGTGGTTAAGTGTGAAAGCTACTTGACTTCCATTATAAAATATGGTTTCTAGCTCCAGTTTTCCTGCTCGAATGCTATCTAAGCACCTGCAGTGTGACTTCGTGTAGACTAATGAGTCTTCCGAGTTCCTTGTCCTGTTAACTTCTCATCTCAATTTCATTTCCCGCTTTACATGCCATTTTGAGTTTCTGGATCTAATCTCATCATGTGCGTGTGGAGGGCGGGCTTCCCACGCGACACCAGCAGAATTCTCATTTAACTCCATTCTGCTACGGTCCTCCTGGAGGTAGCATCAGATTGCCCAGGGCAGGGGTTCAGTCCTACAGGACTGCTCCCCACCCCACACTGCCCACCACTTCAGACGCCAGTTGCAAACCCAAGCTGTCCCCTGTGCTACTGACCAGCCAGGTGTGTATCAGAGGTTCCCAAGACCCTTTGCTCAGATTCAATTGATTTGCTGGAGCAGCTCACAGAAGTACTAGAAACATTTTCTTCACTGTATGACTGGTTTATCATAAAAGGATAGGAATGGGGAACGGCCAGGTGGAAGAGATGCCCAGGGCCAGGTGCTGGGAAAGGGCACGGAGCGTCCATGCTCCACTCTCCCCGAATCTCTACAAGGAAAACCCTGTTTTTCGAGGGTTTTATAGAGGCTTCATTACATAGGCACGACTGATCAAATCACCGGCCCTCTTGCTGCCCTCCCCTCCCCCCTGGAAGTTGGGGGCTGGGAATATAAGTTCTAACCCTCTGATCACAGGGTTGGCACCACTGGCAACCAACCCCCGTCCTTAGGCACTTTCCAGAAGTCACCTCATTAACACAACAGACATTTTTAAGCTCTTGTCACTTAGGAAATAGGTATGAGAGCTATATATTAGGTCCTCTGAATGATCAAATATATACGTTTCTTATAAATCACAATATCAGGCATCCTAACCTAGTTCTTTTTTTTTCTTCCTGGGTATAATTTGCGTTCTTCTCAGTGATTAATTTTATATAATGATTTTTTTTGTTCTTGTTTTACCCTCTGTGAATTTCCTAACAGAAGTCCTGGAGGGGATTTGGGTGCCAAAAAGAAAAAGAAGAAACAGAAGAGAAAAAAGGAGAAACCGAACTCCGGAGGCACCAAGTCAGACTCGGCCTCTGATTCGCAGGAGATTAAAATCCAGCAGCCTTCCAAAGTGAGACCCCTGTTTTATTTTAGCCTCTGTGGTTCCTCCTGCATGTGAGAGCCGGATTGTAGGGCTCAGCGTCCCCGAGGGAGCGGAGGTGTACTTAGGGTTTTGCCGGGACCATGTGCTGGAAGGCGCTCGTCCCCGGCGGGCATTCACAGCCTTCCTGATGCTGATGTTCATACCTAAATAACCAAGAGGTACAGACTGCGTTTTTGTGTGTATGTGGATACGACCTGCATTTTTCCTTTTTCTCAAAGAGCGCATTAGTATGTAGATTGTAGTGATAGAAGTCAGTCTCTGCGTGAGCTTGTTAGGTGTGTGTTGTTGTTGTTGTTGTTTTGAAGTTACGCTTAATATTTCAGTACTTTTAGTTCAGAAGATATTCACATTTTAATTTTTCTGGGTATCTGTCTAATTACCTGAATAGCACCACACGATCTGGCAGGAGATTCCCACGGGAGCAGCCACGGGTAAGTCTTATGACTTTGAATCCAACCAGTTGGCTTCTCGGCCATTCTTAACATCCCATTGCCAAGGGTGGGCCATAGCTCCTGATGTTCCCGCCGGAGAAACACGCCTCCGAGACCCAGCCAGCAGTTGTGGTGGGCGGATGGCCGGCCGCGCGGGGTTCTGGTGGTGCTGATGGCAGGTCCCCCCCCCCCCCCGCCTTCCGGGGGGCCGACCCCGGTCACCCTGGCCGGGAACACAGGCCTTGTGTGCGGGCCACGGGGGACTACAGGGCCCTCTCCACACAGGAAACTCACAGGGCAAAGGGGTGGCGTTAGAAGTATGACGAAGCCCGGATGATCCTGATGGTTGCAGCTCCACGTCAGTTGTCCTGGTGGATCGTGGTGTGGCCGAAGGGCTCGGTCCTGGCCCCGTAGCTCATGAGCTGTGTGGGTGCCGCGCTCCACGAGCCTGTTTGCTCATCTGTGAGGTGGGGGTGATGCCTTCTGCCCCAGCTCACGGGACTGTCAGGAGGCTACAGTGTTAGATCCTGTCTGTTAAGTGGTCTTTATAGCCTAAAGCACTGTATATATGGCAAGTTTCGCGGGGTTGAAATTCTTTTTCTTGCACACAGTTGACACTGTATTGTGGGAAGTGGGTCTTGCAGGCAGGTTTTGTTGTTGTTACTGTTTTATACGTAAGACCAGGGGTCACTGAGAGGATACTTACTTTGCCCAATTTTCCCTGACTGCCTATGTGGGGTGAGAAGAAAATGGGATGTTCCCCCCTTGCTTTTCAGCTCATTTCTCAGGTAATAAATACTCTATCCACTGTACCTACTTCCTGAGGTCACTCATATAAGGTACACCATCTACTCGCAAGACATTTTTCCCATTTCTCAATGTCGCTTCATTGGATAAATGCGGTGCCACTTATATGCAGCTCTGCCCTTCCGTATTGCTTCTACCATCACCATCAGCTTATACCACTCGCCGCACCCCCAGTGACGTTGAGCCCTTCCCTTACTTCTGGTCACTTACGAGAAACTAGAGCTAGCCAAGGCAGGCGGAACAGCTAGCATTTACGTAGAAAAGTTGTTTTCTTTTTTAATTGAGAATAAATAAGAATTGTGTTAATGTGGGCCTTTGTCCATTGCATTTTTTTAAACTAGAGCTTCTTTCCCTTACACAAGATGCTAGCTCTAAATAACACTGTAAATTGCAGTGGATTGTGTGTAGAAAATACTCTCTTCTGCCCTCAAGAACCAGAATAAGAGGACATTTGTCTGGATTCTTTAGACTTCTTGATGGTGGAGGACTTGGACATCTTTCCAAGATACTAAATTTAGAAAGTAAAGGGTGAAGTTACGTGCAGTTGGAGCTTAGTAGTCCACGGAGGAAAAGAGGTGTGCCTGACTTAGGGGTATGGTAGTGGGAAGCTAACGTGGGGTTGATCTACCTTCTCACCTTCCCTAACACGAATTCATTTCTCCCCAGGCGGTGCTGCTGTGGAAAGTAAATGGATAGGTTTAAGAATGTATCATAGCTGAATTTTCCTTGCTGCTTTGTCACCATGGATTTGAAAATAGTGCTTGCTTCTCTCCACTTTAAGAAAGCACTTAAAATAGTGATCATTCAGATATAAATATTTCATGAATGGTCATTTTATGTAAAGATTGCTAGTCAACCTGATGAGGCTAGTTAGGTAGGGTTGGAACCACTCTGAGGTCTGTCTTCACGGAGTTGGGATAGCCTTGGCTCCTTTGGAACAAAGATGCTGATTCATGTTTGCTGCAGACTAGCTAGAGTTTGGTATATTTGTGATCAAGAATTTCACTCCAGAATTAGGAAAGAAAAATTCCCGTGACAAATTCAGTGCAGGCTTTGTAGGTTCAAATTTGCCTTTTTAAGGATAAATGGGTACGTGTTCAAGCATCATTAGTTGAAATATGCTGTGCTCCGACTTCTGTTTAAGTTGTAGGTCTTCTAGTAGATTGCCTTGTTGAGGGGTTCAAATGGATGTAAATTTCATTTTGCTGGAAATCAGTTACTCTGTGTTGGAGGTTCAGAGCAAGAGTCTTAAGCAAACACAGGGAGGCCTATATTAAATAAACTCTGTTTTGTAGTGTGTCACATGGGTAAAGCTTCCCAGGTTAAAGGATTGGCTCCAGACCACAGATGTTAGATTCAAGGTTGACCAGAAGTCCAGAGCTACTATTAATAAACCAGCCAGGGTCAATGGTAGCTCTCCTTGGCGCCCCTGGTTTGTTGGCACACGGGAAGACCAAAGGGCTCCGAAATTCTTGTTAACCACTTCTGAACTACAGTGAAGAACATTCTTTGTGTGGCATCAGAATTCTAAAATTAATAATTTTACGTACTGAAAAAAACCCCGTGATTTTCCTGTTCAGCCCTAAGTGGAAAATACAGGCTCGCTTTCCATATGGGATTACATTATCTGAGGGACTTTCCAAAAAAGGAGCTGGGGAATCTTCCGAGATAAGAGAATATTGGCTTCGAGGAAGGAACTTGAGATTGGAAAGGTAGTGTCAATTTTCCAGACTGAGAATATGTTTTACTTAAAAAGGTCAGTTTCCAACACTTGGGTTGGGGAAAACAGGCTGTGGTTGTCAAAGATCTAAACTCGCAGAAGAAACTGTTCTCGTTGGAAGGTTTGTCTCTGGAGGAGCGTCGGAGCCGGGAGAGGGCAGGGTGTGGTCCCGATGGAAGGCACACTTAGAGATTCCCTTGCTTGATTAACTTCCTTCCCAGCTCAGCACTCAATTCTCTTTCCTTTTCCGTTTCTTTCCCTTTCCCCTTTCCTTTTCCTATTCCTTTCCTGTCCTTCCTTCCTCTTTCTTCTTCTTCTTCTTTTTTTTTTAATGAACTAAAATTTCCCTCATCTGCCTGGTTTCCATTCTAGCAGTTACTTCCCTTGGCCCCACATTGCTGCTGCAGGGCGCAAACGCCAACAGTGAAACCGAGGGTGTGCCTGATGGGCTGTCTCATCGTAGTAACGCATTCGTGCGTGTCCCTCCTTTCTGCCGCTCTGCCCAGATGAGTGCGGGTGATGACCCTCTGCAGATAGGGAGGACCCTGAAGCCAGGGGTGGTCGGCTTTACTTCAGATTTCCCAAAACTATTGAAGCGCCGTTAAAACTACCAAGCTATCGTTACCTTTAACATAATGTGTTTGCTTCTATTTTAATACCTTAGCATCCTTGAGCCCGATCCCTGACCAGGCTTAGAGGAAGATGGTCGGTTTTTGGTGTTGTAGGCTCCAAGGCAGATGGCATGTGTGTCTGCCCCAGGTTTGGGAGCAGTGGCAGCTTCCTCATTTTTGTGTCTGTGTCTTTGCTGTTCTAGAATCCCACCATTCCAATGCAGAAGTTGCAGGATATCCAGAGAGCAATGGAGCTGTTGTCCGCGTGTCAGGGCCCCGCCAGGAGCATCGATGAGGCTGCCAAACACAGATACCAGTTTTGGGACACACAGCCGGTGCCCAAATTAAGTAAGCTTTTCTGCCTTTCTTTCTCCCCCCGCCCCCACTCACAAAAACAGCTGGGTTAACAACAAACAAAAGAAACTTCCATAATTTCCGTAATTTGTTTTTTTTATCACAGATTAGCAATGTACACAAAAGTCCTGTTTTTCTTCTTAAAATAGAAATATTGGGTAGTGACACTGGCTTTTCAGTAGACACAATTTTAGAGTCTAATTCCTCTTCCTATAAAAAAAAATCCAGCTTCTCCCACTTGAAACCTTAGTGTATTAAAAATATATATAAAAGACAGTCTCAGGAACTTTTTTGGTCCTGAGCTTCATGGAATTGTTTTTTCCTCTCCGTAAATTTTTAGCAGTCTCCCATCTCACTTACTCCAAAAGACACAGGATATTTGCCCTACTAGATCTTCTTGAAATGGAAGGTTTTGTGCTGCTTAGCAATAGGATCCTGCACACTCACCGCCCGCGTGAGTTACTAGCGGCGCAGTAAGGGACTCGGGCCCCTTGGGAGTGCTCCGGGGACACCTGGGGCGCATGCGCATCTCGGCAGCAGGCCTCTTCCCCTCGGCGCTGGGCCTGCTCCCTCACGTTCCACTCAGACTTTCGCCTCATAAGTTTCCATAAACATCATTTAACTCTTCCCCTTTCCACAGTAGAAAAGGTGATGATATATAAATGCACTAAAAATGATTATGACTGCATTAAAAGCTAAGCCTGCTGCTTTTTCTTATCCTCCTATGCAAGTAGATTATAATTACTTTCTCTGTTCTTCTTTCTTGATTGTTCGAGTTCCAGAATCTGTGTAAGATAAAGGATTGTCATCCAGATCTCTTAATAGTCCAGTTATGTACAAATTATCTGTTTTATCGCATAAAAATCTGGGAACAGCCCTTGTCTGTGCCCTCAAATAATGGTTTTCAACTTTTTTGAAGTTCCCACTCCTCTCCCCGCCATATCCACCCTATGTACCTGGAAAAAGCATGGACTTGGGAATGTGAAAGATCGAGGAAAGCGATTCTCCTCACTTGTTTTTTCCTTCAGGCTCTAGAAATACATGTGTTTGGTCATGGAGGAAGACTCTCTAGAATGAACTTACAGGATTTTAAATGCCGTTGAATTGAGTGGCCATTAGAGAAAGGGATGTGGGTCTGTTGATCCGGATATAGTGGGTTTAGCTGAATGCTGCTTGGCAAGCTGTTGGTAGCTTTCAGGTCACAGCCCCGGGGACAAGCAAGCCGCCTTGGGCCGCCTCCTAACACCAGCACACATCTTTGGGAAGATAGCCGGGGTGCACCACATTTGGCCCCCTCCCCTAAATCCCTGCAGGATTCCCCCAGCTCCTTGAACACCCAGTTTGCACCTGAGTTAAGGCAGCAGCAAGGTTAGTTGTGGGGGGTAGACGCGGCCTGAGGCTGTCCCAGTGTTGGGTGGGTAGCCAAGCTCTAGGCAGTCGTCCCAAAGGGACTCTCAGGGAGCAGCTGAGAATCTGGCCACCCAGGCTGACTGGACGAAGCCTAAGGTATTATACGGGGGTGGGCTGGTGCAGCAGTAGCAACTGACAAAGTCAGGAGCTAGAAAGAACGAGAAACAAGACCCCTTGGAGCTGATCGAGACCCTGTGGCTTCCACCTGTAAAAAGGTGAGGCCAAAACCTGTACCTGATGGTCATTTATTCAGCAGATACCTGTTTCTTTTTTTTCCTTCTGCTTGTTTTCCTTCTGCTTCTGTTTATTTATTTATTTCTTCTTTGAGGTGTAACTGACATACAGCACTATATTAGTTCCAGGTGCCGAACATAACGATAGGATGTTTGTGTACCTTGTGAGATGACCCCCACAGTAGGTCTAGATACCATCCCTCACCACACCGACTTACAGAATTTTTTCTTTTTTAAAGATTTTATTTATTCATTATTCATTTGAGAGAGAGAGAGCACAAGTGGAGAGGAGAGGCAGAGGGAAAGGGAGACGCAGACTCACCACTGAGCAGGGAGCCCGTTGCAGGACTCGATCCCAGGACCTGGAGATCATGACCTGAGCCGAAGGCAGACACTTAACCGACTGAGCCACCCAGGCGTCCCCAGAATTTTTTTCTTGTAATAAGGACTTTTAAGATCTGCTGTCTTAGCAACTTGCAAATATGCAATGCAGTATTATTAACTGTAATCACCATGTAGTGTATTAGGTCCCCAGAACTTACTTGCTTTATAACTGGAAGTTTGTGCCTTTTGACCCTCTTCACCCATTTCACACTCCCACCCCTGCCAAACCGCCAGACTGTTCTCTGTGTCTAGGAATTCAGAATTTTTGTTTTTTTTTAGATGCCACATATAAGTGAAATCATACAGTATTTGTCTTTCTCTCTCTGACATAACTCACTTCACATAATGCCTTCAAGGTCACCAATGGCAAGACTTCATTCTTTTTTATGGCTGAGTAATAGCAGATCAATGGTGAGTGTGTATTGTTCAGTGCCAGGTGCTGGGGAACATGGCGGGGAAACAGTGAAGGGAAAGTAGGGTAAAAATGGTGGCCAGGTGGGGATGGAGGGAGGGCATCCTCCAGGGAGGAAACAGCTTTAGTCAGGGAAAGATGCTGTGGGAAAGTGCTGTGTAAGCTTATATCTGCAAACACTCAAGCGGCTCGCCTACGGAGAGCAGGGGAAGGGCTGTGAGAGCAGAGGGAAACCCCAGACGCCGTGAGCTGGGGCCGGCCTGAGGGGGGTCAGTGTGGATGAAGCTGGAGAGAAAGGCCAGGTGGGCGGCCAGGTGGGCATCAGCCACACGCAGGAGACTGGGTTCCATCCCAGTCACACTGGGAAGCTGTGGAGAAGGAACTGGAAAAGGGCACCTTTGTGGAGATCACTGGAGACGTGGATGACTTCAGCTGCATTGTCAGCAGTCTGGAAATGACTTGTAGGTGTTGCTGGGAGGGGTCAGAGGTCACCATAGCCCTCCCCCCGCCACCACCCCAGGTGTTTGAAATGCAGAATAAGAAGAGACGTCTCCAGGCCATCATCGGACCTAAGCTGTCCACTGTGGTCTAGTGCAATGGATCTGTCACGTAGGGGTTGAGGCTGAGAAGTCACTGTCATGTCCTGATACACACCTTGTCATTGCATGAGAAAGGATCGCTCCTTCTATTTAATTGGTGAGGTAGCGGCTCTTCTCCACCTAACTACCTTGTCTCGCTCCAGAAGTAGCTGAAACATAGCATATTTTCAGAGATGATATGAAACCCAAGGCCCCTAGCAGTGATTTCGTTTTCTGTGACAGACCATTTTGGATCATCAAAATGCTTTGTCCTTGAATATTCTGTCTTTTTGTCTGTCTTTTTTCTCCTCTGCCCCTCCCCAGATGAAGTCATAACCTCTCACGGGGCCATTGAAGCGGATAAAGACAACGTGCGTCAGGAGCCCTATTCCCTGCCACAGGGTTTTATGTGGGACACCCTGGACTTGGGTAACGCCGATGTGGTGAGTAACACTCTTGGGTTCAACACCTGCCTTTGCACGCGTTGCATCGGGGTGGGGGGCGGTTGCGAGCACCACAGACAGGACACTTGCTTGGTCTTGTAGCTCAAGGAGCTGTACACGCTGTTAAATGAGAATTACGTGGAAGATGAGGAGAGCGTGTTCCGTTTCGACTACTCGCCCGAGTTCCTGCTGTGGTGAGTCTGGCCGGCCGCTGGGGGGCGCCCCGGGCGTGGGCAGCCGGGCCGGCGTGCCTCAGTCTCTCCCTGGGTTCCTGGACACTAACCGGCGCCTGTTTTCCTTGCCTACATCCACTTCAGGGCGCTGCGTCCCCCGGGCTGGCTCCTTCAGTGGCACTGTGGGGTCCGAGTGTCTTCGAACAAAAAGCTAGTAGGGTTCATAAGTGCCATCCCAGCAAGCATTCGGATTTATGACAGGTACCTATTAAAGCTTGTCCATGCCGGCTTTGATGTGTTATTTTTCCAGGAACTGCAGTTACAATGGGCTTTGAAAAATCACTTATGCAGGTCGTTGATCTTAGGGGAGGTTGTGGGTGGGTGGGGGCAGGGGTCTACGGGAAGGAACTCTACTTTCTGCTCGGTTTTGCTAAATCTAAAACTCTTAAAAATAAAGTTGATTCAGAAACACGGACCAGTGGAAAACTGAAGTTGATTTAATAAAAAAAAAAAAAATTGGCCTGCAAACAGCAAAAAAAGGACAGCTCTCTCTCAATCTCGTCAGTGCACACACAAATACGGACGTATTCTTGTATTATATGTATTTATCGGAATAAAAAAACTATAAATGGATATTTCAGATTTATTTCTGGAGAAAAAAATTACCGTAAAAGATTTTAGGAGAGAGAGATTTTTAAAAAATCTTTTTATCCATAGGATAACTATGTTGCATTTTTGCTCTGGGTCTCTAGCCCAGAAAGTCAGAGGTCTTGTGCAGAGTAGGACCAGGTACTTTTCAGTGTATTGGTTACTTTCTTTGCTACTAAAAGGCATTTGATGTCAAGGAGTCTGTGCCACATGGAATGCCTGCATATATAGAACCAGAGTGGGGAACAAGCTTTGAAGCTCTGGAAGGTTTACTGTAGCTCAGAAAAACACCAGCTCTCGTCTGGTCAAGGCACCTTTCAGGATGCTAGGAATTGCATTATACTCCAAAGCAACATCTTACCAGATTGTGCAGCTGGGTGACCCAGTTATTGTCCTAATTGTGTACATGACAGAAAAAAACAGATGTAGAAACTTTGAGGCACATCTTACCCATTTTATTTCTTTTATTTTTTTTAAGGATTTTATCTGTTTTATTTGAGAGAGAGACAGAGATATTGAGAGAGAGCATGAGTGGGGAGGAGAGGGAGAGGCAGACTCCCCACTGAGCAGGGAGCCTGACGCGGGGCTCAGTCCCAGGACCCTGGGATCATGACCTGAGCAGAAGGCAGACGCTTAACCGACTGAGCCACTCACGCTCCCCGTCTTCCCCGTTTTCTGAAGTGAAAACTTATTTAAAAAAAATTAAAGTCTTAAATTTATTTAGGACAAGGGTGTTTGGGTCTCCATGGCCTAGAGTTATTATCATTTTGGCAGGGGATTTGGGGACTAGCATATCCATCTGAACTTGTGAAATGTCTGAATGATGGTCATTTGTTCTTAAATATTGTGTTGAAGGGGGGGAATCTTTCGGTTTCATATTCTTTGAAATGTCATGGGTGTTGTCTTATTTTTCTAAATGTTTTCGTCTTACGTTCCCTCCGATTTTTGACATCTTTCTCTTTCTTAGTGTGAAAAAGATGGTAGAAATCAACTTTCTTTGTGTTCATAAGAAATTGAGATCAAAACGGGTAGCTCCAGTGTTAATTCGAGAAATAACCAGAAGAGTGAACCTGGAAGGGATTTTTCAGGCCGTCTATACCGCTGGAGTGGTTCTTCCTAAGCCGGTAGCCACTTGCAGGTAACACCACCACACGCTCACCTCTTGCCCCCTTGCTCTGTTGCTACCAGTTATTCTCATGTGTAACTCAGGGATTTGGGCTTACCTGTTATTACATAGTTTGGTGGCAGAGTGGGGAGACCAGACCCAAGAACCACTGTGTCCATTGTTCTTTCCATTTTGCCATAGAACCACTTCGAGAGTAAAAAAAAAAGCCAGGGGGTTGGGGGGACTCTACTTTTTAACATTTTCCTGCTAATGATGCTGGTTCTGTATTCCTGTGTCCCTTCCTTTGGAGAGACCAGCACTGCCTCTCCCTTGGGGCACTCAGGGCATTGTGATCTTGAAACATCCAGCCTGCTAGCATTTTCTTTCCTTCCAAACACTCAGGTTTATACCAGGCTCTGCCCTGGCTGTCAGGGAACTGTCCCAAATGCCTGATAAACACCAATTGAGAAGCCCAAACAAACCTGTTTGCTTAGAGTAAGAAAAGGCTTAAGCTCTGTTTTTTATGACTTCATCTGTTCTTACCAAGCTTTCAAAGGTTAATCCAGGGCAGATTTGTGCCTGGACTAATCTGTTGTAAAGCCTCAGGGTTTATCTCTCTTGACTATTTTTGCCTCAAATAAGACGAAACTTTCGCTAAATGTAGTATGAAAGGTAAACTGTAAAACGACTCTCTCCGATTAAATTATTCATAAATAACCTGAACAAATAAGACCTCGCAGGTATGTTTTAAAAAAATCATCGTAGTACCTAAACTGGAATCACTGAAGAAATTCAAGGTAGTTTCTCAAAAAGTTGTTTTCTTTGATGGGCATTATTATAAAAGCGGCACCTACTAATTTAGGGGGGGATGTTTTCATGTTTTTAAACTTTTTGGTTTGCTTTCTGTAGAATCAGCAGTGGTCATTAAATACTTGCCGACTGGGCATTTTTTAACTTTATTTACAGTTTTATGATTGCTCTTTACTGAAAGAGATGAAAGGTTACAGACTACAAAGGAACATAACAAGGAAAGCAAGGATGTATTTTAGATGTAAAAACCAGCTGATAAAATAATTATGCAAGAAGAGGGCTAGCATCCAGCATTGCACCGGGGGCATCACTAGTGTTCATTAAATGCTTCTAGAATGTCTGAGCTGGGACAAAGAGTAAAAACTGGTAGGGTTAGAAACCAATCAGGTTTTAAAACCTTTATTGTATTCCAGATACTGGCATCGATCACTAAACCCCAGAAAACTGGTAGAAGTGAAATTTTCTCACTTGAGTAGAAATATGACTTTACAGAGAACAATGAAGCTCTACAGACTTCCGGATGTAAGTAAGAATTTTCTGCAGTTTTTCAAAGCTGTGACCTTAACTAAAGCTTTTAATGTAGAAAAGAGTTATTTGCAAGAGTCTTAAACCAGCTCATGTGTTTGAGAATGTGAATATGTAGCTTTTTGGAACTCTGGGCTAGGAAAAATAGGGGAGCTCATTTGGAAACACCAGTTTTTTTTGTTTTTTGTTTTTTAAGACTTTTTAAGTCTTTAGTTTATGGTTGGATGGGATTGAACTCAAGATATGTAAGTTTTGAAATTTCGAGTATTTACCGTTTGTTACATAAGAAGGAAGAAAACTTGGGGCTTCTGATGATATTTTAACACAAAGGACCTAAGGAATAAGGCTTAGAGGAGAGACCAAGGAGAGGAAATAATGTTTCATTAAATTACCATCTTTTTAGGGTCACCTGGGTGGCTCAGTTGGTTAAGCATCTGACTCTTGGTTTCAGCTCAGGTCATGATCGCAGCGTTGTGGGATCAAGCCCTGCGTTGGGCTCTGTGCTCAGTGGGGAGTCTGCTTGAAAGATTCTCCCTAAGCCTCCCCACCCCCTCTCTTAAATAAATAAATAAATCTTAAAATATATATATATTTTTGAAAGATTTTATTTATTTATTAGAGAGATTGGGAGAGAAAGCATGAGCAGAGGGGAGGGGCAGAGAGAGAGTGCAAAGCAGGCTCCCTGCTAAGCAGGGACCCGCCGCCCCCGACGCAGGGCTCCATCCCAGGACCCTGAGATCATGACCAGAGCCGAAGGCAGACACTTAACTGACTGAGCTACCCAGGCGCCCCCTCAAAAAAATATCTTTTTAAGCTAGCAAATTCCCAACATGACAAGTTGTCTCTTAATAGAGGAAAAGTTACATGTGCTTACCAGTGTTGCCTTTATTTGAGGTTTGGATGGTGTGTTAGTTATCTCTTGCTATTGTGATAGATTCCCACAAATTTAGCAGTTTAAAACACACATTTGTTTTCTCCCAGGTTCTGTGGGTCAGGAGTCAAAGCCCAGCTTGCCTGGGGCCTCTGCCCCAGGGTCTCTCATGAAGTTGCCATCAAGGTATCCACTGGGGCTGGGTCTCATCTGAACACTTGACTGGGGGTGGGTCCACCTCCAACTCACATGGCTGTTAGCAGGCCTGAGTTTTTGCTGGCAGTTGGACCGAGAGTTTTAATTCCTTGCTGGCCATCGGCCTGAGGCCCACCTCAGGTCTTCGCCAGGTGAGATTCCCCATAGGGCAGCAGCTGTGACAACATGGCGGCTTGCTTCATCAAAGCCAGTGAGGGAGTGAGTCTACAGAGAGAGCCAGCTAGCAAGATGGAAGTTAGAACCTTATGTAATCAGTGCTTGCAAGTGACATCCAGTCACCATTGCTATTTATGTCACTGGTTAGAATCAAGTCCCAGATTCCACACTCAGGAGGAGCGCAAGGCTGTGAGCACCAGGAGGTGGCATTACCGGGGGCCATCTTAGAATCCGTCTGCCTCAGATGGGATCTTTCATTTGAAGTTTTGATTTCGCCAGAGCTATTCTTTCTCTTGGGTTGTTAGAAAGTAGTTTCATGACTATTTTAACTTGACTGAGGGATTCCCGTGGAATGTCACCATGTTCCTCTCGAACATGGGGAGGGCTTCACCTGCAGTGGCCTTTCTCGGTGCGGTGGACTCCACTACCTCCTTTCGTCTTTCGGCCAGTTGTGTGTTTACCAAGTACATGTGAGTAGCCACATGAACGGATGTATTTTTTTCCAGTGACAGACAGGAATCAACTGATTTCTGACCTTAGGCAGAATTTCATGAGGAGAAAAGTGGAGGCGAGGGAAACCAGATGTGGGAGAGATCAGGACCATCATTCTGGAGCTTTGTCACCTGGCAGAAGGATCGGAAGGCCTCATCTTCCCCTGTTGCAGACGGTGGGGCTCAGACTAATGAACCCACCGCCTCTGAGGCCAAGGAGGGAGGGGAAATGTAGACCAGGAGAGAAGAAAATAAACACCGCAGACAGCATGACAGAGGAGGGTCCACAGGACCTGGGGAGGGGGTGCCGGCCCCTCATGCTGGAGCGCAGAAGGGAAGGTAGGCGTGTGGAGATGTGTGCACAGAAGACGTTCAGAGAAGTCACACTAGCAATGTGACACTGACTACTGACCGGCCAGGGCTTTTTTGACGCTAGGGGCCAAGACCCAGAGTGACCCGAGAGGGACAGGCACGTAGAGACACAGGACACGGCTACGGCGAAACGTGCCCCCTGCAGGCCTGTCCGTTCTCAGCGGCCTCCTTGCGGTTGGAGACTTGGCCATCCAGGAGCGGAAATTAAAAAACTTCAGGCGTGCCCACTTTTTTCACTAGGGGCTAACGCTCTTCTGTGGTCTCCCCGAATTTCAGCTTCTTGAGCCTGAAGCCATCCAGCTTGTGTGTAAGGAAGGCGCCCACTTCCACGTAGGTTTCCTAAAATGGGATGAAGGAGTTTTAGTATCTGTCATGGGTTTATTCAGGGTGATCAGATTTTGAGCTAAGAGTATTTTTGACTTTTGTCCCTCATCCTTTATGTTTTTACACAAAAATCGATCAACTCAGGTAACAATGTTAACAAGTTGGTAATAAATCACTGGCCTGGCATTGGGAGTTTTTTTCCCCCCAATAAAGTGAAGTTTACAAAGTGCTCTCACATGTGTATATATATATTCATGTTGCTCTCACGACAACCTTTCGAAGCTGGTGTGGCCTGTCTGCGTTTTGCAGATGAAGAGATTGGGGCTTACGCAGTTTGACACTTAGACACGGGCCTGTCACTAATAAGTGGGGGACTCGGGATGCACGCCCCGAACATCCACGTTCCGCCTGTTAGATCCCTTTGCTCCTGCCGTCACCTCTCGCACACCCCCAGGGGGCAGCGTGGCCCGGTCCCACCAGATGTCTCGCCACACGGTCACTAGAGCGGAGGTGAACGCAGGAAAGCATGATCGTCAGGGGCCGAATAGCGCTCGTTGGCGTGTTCCAGTCTGCCTCCCTGCCTTTAAGTCCTGGGGAAGGAGAGAAAAATGAAGAGTAAAACAATGAGGAAAAAGAGAGGGTAGAAGAGATGAGAGTACAGATATTAAAAAATCCAGAAGGCACCCACCGAGCCGCCTGGGGGTGTGCCGTTTGAGTTAGAAGCTGGACGGTGCAGGGGCGCCTGGCCAGCTCAGTCAGTAGAGTGTGCGACTCTTCGTGTGACCCTTGATCTCAGGGTTGTGAGTCCGAGCCTCGTGGTGGGTGTAGAGATTACTTAAAAATAAAATCTTCAAAAAAAAAAAAAAAGCTGGACGACGTAGCATGTACTAGACAATGGTCTGCCTGCATAGAGGCCCAGTCATGTGATTTAAGAACATTTTGTACCCTTAAGCGTAAAGAACCTTACTGTGTACAACTTTTGCTCTCTGGATCAATCTCATCTGATTCATCATTAGTGTTTCTGCATACTGTGCCTGCTTTAGGTCTTGTTTGTGGACTTCTGAATCTAAAGCGTTAACATTATTATGAACAGCATTGTGCTAGACACTGAACATCCATAATCTCAGCTATTATTCAGAACAGTCCTAGGAGGGCAGGGCATTCTCCCCATTTTATGGAAGAGAGCAGTGAAATTGCTCTGCCCAGACTTGTCATCTTCTTGTTAGGAGAGAACCACCCAGGGCCCACACCCCCTGCCTCTGGTCTCTGCAATGCTCAGGTCTCCCCGAGAGTCGTGCCCTCCCCTACCTTGTAAACATTGGTTTGTTTTAGCTTGCTGTTGAGCATTTTCTTCTTGTTTTTTTTTCTTTTTAAGATTTTATTCGAGAGAGAGAGAGAGAGAGAGAGAGAGAATGAACAGGGAGGGGAGGGCAGAGGCAGAGGGAGAAGCAGACTCCCCGCTGAGCAGAGAGCCCCACACGGGACTCGATCCCAGGACCTTGAGATCATGACCTGAGCCGAAGGCAGACCCTTAACTGCCTGAGCCACCCAGGCGCCCCACTTTTGAGCATTTTCAAACAAAGTTGGAATTTTTTTTTTTTTTTTTTTTTGGTCAGTGCTCTTAAAGGTGAAGGAATTTAAAGTCGGCAAAAAACAGAGTCAGGTTCATCTCCTGGGGTCCTTCCACGGTGTTGCAGGAAGGACATGCTTGTGAAGACGTGCAACATTTAGTTGCAGTAGATGCTTTTTTTAGTGATTAGCTTCCTACGGCTGCTTTTTAAATCAAATCCCCATAATCATTGCTTATGTCCCTACTCTGGAATCTTGGCTCTAAGACAGTTTACACCACATAGTTTGACAGAACAAAACGGCTTCTGTTTTTTAATAGACCTCTGAGCCTTTTCCCCATATGCACTGATAAGCAGATTTTACACATATTTCAATGTACAGAGAGTCCCAACAAGTCACGCCTGCTAGCTGGACCCTGGGAAAGTGAATCTGGCTGAGATAATAAGAGTTTGCATATGAAATGTAAGGCTGTCTCAGTCACTGGAAATGTCTTCTTGTTTTTTTGGAATTCTCTGGAAGCCACCTTTCTTTTTTGGGTTATGCCAAAACTTACCATTTTTTAAATCTAGGCTTAACATTTCCCCACCTCTTTCTGAAGACCACAGCTGTAATTGGAGGGTGTATTTTATATTTTAAAATGTATTTTGTGCCTCTGTTAATTTTTTTTTTTTTTTTTTGGAGAGTATGAGACTTCATGATATTAGAAAGAAGCACATTTAGGCCCTGAGACACATTGTGAGTCAGCAAAAGTAAACATTCTTCTCCTGTTTTCTGGGATCTTGCATTTTTTTTAATAGCTGATACAGTCTGATGTTCTCTTTAAAAAAAAAAAAAAGCTTCTGTAAAAAAGCACTTCTAGGGCTTATAAATTGCCCAGTGCATATACTTTCTGCCTGTTCACCCAAATGTACTGTTTGATGGAGTTTTCCGTCTCCCACTTCGACTACCCGTTATTCTGACTTTCGGACACCTGACACAGCAGTTCTCAAAGTTGGTCCTGGGACCCCTGAGAAGTCCTGGAGTCAAGTCCATTCCAGGGGAGCGGGGTCTGTGACATCAACACTATTTTTATAACAGTGAGACATAAAGTGCATTTTTCGCCTTAATTACCTTACAGATGAACTGTGACGTCTACGAGAGGCCTTCTGGAACATGTGCTCCTGCATTTTTTTTGTTTTAAGATTTTCTCGGTTTTAATTTCTAATACGATACGTGCGGGTGGATATAACCCACCTTCGCAGAACTCGCTGGGAATACTCCGTATTTTAGAGGGGAAAGGTGTCTTAGACAAAAATATTCGGGAACTGCTGCTTTAAGGGTGTCTGCTGGGCAAAAGATGTTGATTTTAGTGATTTTGCAGGATAAATACTCACTGAGGGAGAATATTGCTGCAGAGGAGTGTTTTGGTCTAGAAAGAAGTTGGCAGGCTTGTTCTTCCTTTCTGAATGTCCGCCTAACATATGCAGTATCCTGTTGCTTGCACTAATGAATCTAATTGCTCGGTATCATTGTTCCTGAACTAGTAACAAAAGAAAAAACAGTTTACTATTGAGCAAGGCTACTTAAGACTTTATCGAGGTCATCTGCATAGCAGAAAACCATCTTTGTAAATGACTTTTTAAATACATTCTTTCTGTATATGTAGTTTGGTTTTTCCTGTTAGCATTTAGAAATGTATGTTTGTTACCTTTTCCAGTGTTTGGAAATCACCTAGGTTCCATCTTGCCATGAATTTGCAGTATAGAAATGCTACCAAACACTAACCTTGGCTCGGGGGAAAGGAAAAAAAGAATTTTTGCCTGGCTTACATAAAAGTGCCAGGCCCAAGAAGTGTCATCTTTGAAGAACTGACAGTGACTTTTTTCCCTGTCTGCAGCCTTCACCGTACCTTCACCGTACCTTACTGTGTAAATGTGGTTCAAAACATAGGCATTCATTCATTCATTCATTCATTCATTTCATTTCATTCATTCGGCACATATTCGGGCTGTTCTTACCCTTCTTGCTTGCTTGAAGGGTTAGGCCTTGGATGGAAGCCAGGGCCTGGAGATATCTCGTGCTTTGGCTTTGTGATCCACAGAAAGGCTAGAAGTACGAGTTCTCTATTAAGTGTTCAGGGCTTATCTTCTCTTGACGTGGACTAGTAAACTGTATTTTAGCTGCATTACTACATCTTTATAGATTACATAAGTCATAACAGAAAGGACATTTGGGTCTGTAAATACAAAGAACAGATCTCTCAGTCCCCCTCCTCGCCCCCACCGGTCAGCGATCAGTCAGCATTGTCACGGACCCCAAGAGACCTCGGCACAGCCGCTAAGATGGATCAGAGCCAGCACTCAGCATGAGACCTATTTTCCACCTTAGGCTTCGCTTCTCTGCTATGCTCCGAGTCTGGGGGCATGCAGGAGTTGTCATGATCTATTTTTAAAGGCAGTATTTAATCTTAAAGCATTTAAAAATAACTTAGAAAAGGTAGAATAGAAGTATTTATATACAGGTTACTTATTGCTTAAAATGTATCCACTATTTCTAGGAAAAAGGAAAAAAATCAAGCTAACTGGAAAGATGAAATTGTCTTGCTAAGTTTTTAGTATTTTGTACAAACAAGCACTTGTGGTAGGTTTTCTCACTTCTCGGCTCAAGTGTTCTGGTGTTTGGGCAGTTCCCAGGGAGCTAAGTGATGTCTGGAGCTCTTCTGAGGTTACAGTGGAACAAAATCCAAATGGGGACCTGTCCTGACCGTTAGGTTAATTCTGTTCCTAATAGAATACTGTATAAATCGTGATGCTCTGGAATGATGAATCCAAATGCCTGTTCTAATCACCTTTTTTAATCAAAAGAGAGGAGGGGAAGCCAGGCCTGGTACTTGGCAGCTAGCCATGCACCTTTAGAAAATACTTGGCTCTTCAAATGCTTGCCCTTCCCCTTCTGACCAATATGATCTACTTTTATTTCATTTTTGTTGCTCACAAGAACAAAAGAGCTACAGCTTCTTCATGGGCCATTCCATAAAATCAGTTTCTGAGCTGTCTTCACCTCAACATGTCAGACAGGGCAGTCTCTAAAGCACATCCTTCCAGAACACATGCTCAGATTGCTCTGCCCCCGGGGTGGAGGCCGTTAACATGCTTGGCTTTGGCACATGGATTGGTGTCCCCTCTGGCTTCGTTGGGGCAGCACTGGCCCCAGACCGGGCCCACAGATAGAAGGTACAGCACATTGTCTAACGTATATCCTAACTCGGTGCTTTTCAAGCTTTTGTGTGTAGACCGATCACTGGGGAGTCTCGGTAAACGGCAGATTCTGTAGGGCTGAGGGGGAGCCACGATTCGGCAGCTCTGACAGGCTCCCAGGTGACGCTGACGTACCCGGCCTTCCGTTCCTCTTACAGTTCAACTTCCCACTTTGTTTTGTGTTCACTGCAACAAGGCTACCAAGACGTCAGGCCTGAGACCAATGGAACCGAGAGATATCCGGGCCGTTCGAGACTTGACCAACACTTACCTGAAGCAGTTTCATCTCGCCCCGGTGATGGATGAAGAGGAAGTAGCTCACTGGTTCCTCCCCCAGGAGCACATTATTGATACGTTTGTAGTGGAGGTAAACATAAGGGGGTTAAGACACTACAGACAAGTATGAAAACACCACACAGCGGAGTCTGTTTTCCGGAGGGATCGAAGAGTGCCCCTCTCTCTCCTCTTTCTCCAGGACTCACTGCTTCCAAACCAGATTTCTTCTCCCCCCGATAGAACCAGAATTTATTCTTACAGTTTCCGTTCCTAGAGGAGCACATTTTTGCTAGTGATTAAGGGGAAGTCAGGATACGTTTCTTTTGATACCTGTGTGATTAATTGCTTAATTCAGTCTTGAAAAAGTCAATTTGGATGGCCTTATCTGAGGTACTTTGAAAGTTTAATATCTTTGGGTTTTGTGAACCTGGTTTGACCTGAACTGCTTTCAGTTGAGATGGCATAACTCAGCCACTTAACCCTTGTTCAAGGGAAGGAAGGAAAAGTAACAATCTAGATTTTCTGATTATTGATTGGATGAATTTAACATAGTGCTTTTTAAACCTTTTTTTAGAAAACAGAAAAAAAAAGCTTGGAATTTGTTGTTCAGATGATGTTTTGCATAGAAGCTCTTTCGCTTGAAGTGGGATTGGGTTCAAAAGTTGAGATTTAAGCTGGTAAGTACCTGGAGGAGGGAAAGACTAAGGAGGCCAGGTAGAAGTTCCGACAATAGTCCATTCACCATTCAGGTGTGAGCGCTGAGCTGGAATTGTCTTTTCAACATTGTCAGGCATCCGTCTGGATGTAGGATGACAGCCGAGAGAGAGCAGAAATGGTAGAAACAGGGTGAATTCAAAGGACATTTCTGGAGAACAACCGAGCAGTCTTTGTTTTTAAGCTCTTATTTCTAGAACAATGCTAGAGTGCACATTTTTAAGCACAAATCTTTTTTAATTTAAATTCAGTTAATTAACATAGAGCGTATTATCAGTTTCAGAGGTAGAGTTCAGTGATTCATCAGTTGCATATAACACCCATTGTTCAATACATCATGTGCTCTCCATTTTAATGCCCATCATCCAGTTACCCCATCCCTGTTGTTCACTGCAACAAGGAGTTGCTCCCCTCCAGCAACCCTCAGTTTGTTTCCTATGATTAAGAGTCTCTTATGGTTTGTCTCCCTCTCTGATTTCGTCTTGTTTTATTTTTCCCTCCCTTCGCCCTGTGATCCTGTTTTGTTTCTTAAATTCCACATATGAGTGAGATCATATGGTACTTGTCTTTCTCTGATTGACTTATTTCACTGAGCATAATACCCTCTAGTTCCATCCATATCATTGCAAATGGCAGCATTTCAATTTTTTGATGGTTGAGTAATATTCCCTTGTATATATGAACCACGCCTTCTTTATCCATTCATCTGTCGATGGACATCTGGGCTCCTTCCACGGTTTGGCTATTGTGGACATTGCTGCTATGAACATTGGGGTGCAGGTGCCCCTTTGGATCACTACATTTGTATCTTTGGGGTAAATACCCAGTAGTGCAATTGCTGGGTCATAGGGTAGCTCTATTTTCAACTGTTTGAAGAACCTCCATACTGTTTTCCAGAGTGGCTGCACCAGCTTGCATTCCCACCAACAGTGTAGGAGGGTTCCCCTTTCTCCGCATCCTCGCCAACATCTGTCGTTTCCTGACTTGTTAATTTTAGCCATTCTGACCGGTGTGAGGGGGTATCTCATTGAGGTTTTAGGGGCGCCTGAGTGGCTCAGTTAAGTATCTGCCTTCGGCTCAGGTCATGATCCCAGGGTGCTGGGATCAAGCCCCGCATCGGGCTCCCCACTCCACGGGAAGCCTGCTTCTCCCTCTCCCACTCCCCCTGCTTGTGTTCCCTCTCTCACTGTGTCTCTCTCTGTCAAATAAATAAATAAAATCTTAAAAAAAAAAAGAATAAATAATTGAAAAAATATATATTATTTCATTTAATAACAATAATAAACATGTTACCTAAATAACATATTTTTATGAAAAATAACTGTTTCCCAAAGCGACAAAATTAAGAATGGTATGTTTTATATTTTTGCGTATCTCTTTAATGTCTGATTTACTAGAAGACAGCTGGGCTCTCATATCTACTTCTGCATTCTATCTATTGTGATAAATTATTTTGGCCGACGTGTGTGGAAAAAAATCCTTCACATGAAGTATTGACGATATGGAAAAGAATGAATATTTTAGTAGCCTATTCCGATCGTTTTGAATATTCTCTACCTGAAAGCATATTAATGAACTTTGCATACTCTGTTTGATTAAAATCCATTGGTCTGTCTTGTCCGTTGATCATTCCTTTACCAATGTATGAGTTTGTAACGTCATATATTGATCATTTGGAAAATACCGATTCACTGAGTTAAAAAGATCTTCTAGATACTAACAGTTCATTATATAATATCAAAAAGCCTCATTCATTGATATCCCCACCATTGTCATCAGAAAAGTATATAATGCAGTTTATGGTGGAGGATACAGGTTTTTCCAGACATAAAGTTGTACCCTGAAAGCTCAAATTTTATCACTGGCAACAAATCCCACCAATATTTTCCTTGAAGTGATAGGATCGCATCATTGATTTCCAAGATGTGCCCAATACCCAAGTTTCAATGACCAGAGTTTGTTAGTCCTCTTTTTGAGTGGTGGTCCATGAAAAAAGTGGCTAGTTCAGCTCACAGCTCCGTCGCCTACGGGCTTCTCTTTGAGACAGTAAACTCATGGTAAATGAGAGTTTTCCTAGAAAAATAAGACTGCCCTTTCAGTAGGCAACAGAACTGCCTTGTGTGCTTCGTCCAGGATGGGAAGGGATGAGTTGTTAAGCATCAGGAGTTAATACAGTTAAGAATTCTTATTCAAGGACATGCTTCAGTGAAACCTTTTTTTTAAACCGTGAGGGTGTGGAGGTGAAGAGTAAAAAGACCACCGGCACGGTTTGGTGCCGAGGCCCGGATGGTGGTGGCACCATCACTCCTGCATTCTTGGTGCAGATGTCCACACAGTGAACGAGGCAGATAACTTCGTAGTGCTGTTAGGAAAATCGTTTTGATTCCTCGGACTTCTGGAAGGGTCTCAGATACCCACAGGGGTTCACAGACCACATTTTGAGAACTGCTGCCCTTGGGTGTATACTCAGAGGCCGAGCTATGTTGTCATACGGCTCACCAGAGTATCTCCTAGCAGTGTTGGAGAGGTCCTGTTTCCACAGATCATCACGCACATTTGGTTATTACCAGACTTTAAATTTAGGCCAGTCTGATGGGTATCAAGTGATATCTTGTTTTTAATTTGCATGTTCTTATTACTGATGAATTTGAACATCATCTCATAAATGTGCTAGCCATTTTTATGCCGGTCATATACTTTGCCTCTTTTTACATGTAATCTTCTTGGTTTCTAAAGGTTTTTCAATATGTTGAATGCTAATATTTGTATTGGGCTCTGTTTCTGGGTTCTCTCTTCTGTTCCATTGATCTGTCGTGTCTGTCCCCCCACCAACACCACACTGTCTTGATTACTATAGTTCTGTATAAGTCTTGATAGGTAGAGTGATTCATCTCACTTCATTCTTTCTGTTAAGATTGTTTTAATCTATTTCTTTCACCCTTCCATATAAATTTCAGAATAAGCTTGTTTTTGTCTATGAAGTACCTTGCTGGGATTTTGATAAGAATGACATTAAATCTATAGATTAATTTTGGGAGAATTCATGAGTCTTCCAGTCCATGAACACGATATGTCTCTGTTTATTTAGAACTTTTGCGTTTTATCAGCATTTAATAATTTTCAGCATCCAGATCCTGTGCATGTTTTCTTAAGTGTATACCTTACATATGTGATTTTCCTTAGAGCAATTATAAATAGCATTATGTCTTTAATTTTGGTTTCTGCATGTTCATTGTCAGTGCAGAGAAGTACAGTTGCTTTTTCTGGGTTGATCTTGTATCCTGCATCCTTGCTGAAATCACTTAATAGTCCAGGAGTGTAGATTTCTTGGGATTTCTACAGAGACAGTCATGTCACCTGCAAATAGGGACAATTACATTTCTTCCCTTCCCATCTGCATGCCTTTTATTTCTTCTTCTTGCCTTATTGCAGGGGCTAGATCTTCCAGTACTTTGTTGAATAAGAGTGGTAAAGGTCGACATCCTTGTTACTGGTATTAGTGGAAAAGCATTCAGTCTTCTGCCATGAGGCATGATATTAGCTGGAGGATTTTTGTAGATGCTTCTTATCAATTTGAGAGAATTTCCCTGATTCCTAACTTGCTGAGTTCTTATCATGAGTAGGTGTTGGATTTTGTCCATTGCTATTTCTGCTTCAATTGATATGATCATGTGATTTTTCTTCTTTAGTCTGTTGATACGGTATATTACATTGGTTGATTTTCAAATGTTTGACTACTCTTGGCATTCTTAGAAAAAACCCATTTGGTTATGGTGTATAAATTTTTTTATACATTGTTGGATTTGGATTGCTAACATTTTGAGTATTTGTTGAGTTCAACACAGATACTGGTCTGCAGTTTCTCCTTTTTTTTTTATACTGCTTTTGTCTGGTTTTGGTATCAGGATAATTCCGGCCTCATAAAATGAGTTGGGAAGTGTTCCCTCCCCTTTCTTCTAGAAGAGATTGTATAGAATTGGTGATAATACTTTAAATATTTGCTAGAATTCTCCACTTGACACCGTCTGACCTTAGAGAATTCTTTTTTGTTAAAGTAAGTTCCATTTCTTTAATGGTATAGGACTATTCAAGTGATCTATTTCATCTTGATTGCATTTTAATAGACTGTGGTTCTTGAGGAATTGGTCCATTTCTCCTAGATTGTCAAATTTATAAGAGTAAAGTTGCTTAATTATTCTTTTGTTCTTTTACTGGCCAAAGGATTTTTTTTTAATTTTTTTATTAACATGTAATGTATTATTTGTTTCAGGGGTACAGATCTGTGATTCAACAGTCTTGCACAATTCACAGTGCTCACCATAGCACATACCCTCCCCAATGTCCCATCACCCACCCACCCCATCTCTCCCACCCCCTCCACTCCAGCAACCCCCAGTTTGTTTCTTGAGATTAAGTCTCTTATGGTTTGTCTCCCTCTCTGGTTTGGTCTTGTTTCATTTTTCCCTCCCTTCCCCTATGATCCTCTGTCTTGTTTCTCAAAATCCTCGTATCAGTGAGATCATATGATACTTATCTTTCTCTGGTTGACTTATTTCACTTAGCATAATATCCTCTAGTTCCACATTGTTACAAATGGCAAGATTTCATTTTTTTGATGGCTGCATAATATTCTATTGTAAATATATACCACATCTTCTTTATCCACTCATCTGTTGATGGATATCTGGGCTCTTTCCATAGTTTGGCTATTCTGGACATTGCTGCTATAAACATTAGAGTGCAGGTGCCCCTTTGGATTACTACATTTGTATCTTTGGGGTAAATACACAGTAGTGCAATAGCTGGGTCGTAGGGTAGTTCTATCTTCAACTTTTTGAGGAACCTCCATACTGTTTTCCAGAGTGGCTGCACCAGCTTGCATTCCCACCAACAGTGGAGGAGGGTTCCCCT